CCTTAGAAACTTTCATTTTGCACACAGTGTTTGACCTTAATAGGAGGAGATTAAAGGACCTTTCACTGTCAAGGGATGCCAAACACAGCTGTGCTGACCAGACCTGTCTTGAGCAGGGCTGGGCTGCTGCTGCAGGGGACAAGGAGCTACCACACACCTGGTAAGTGCACAAAGGGTGGGGACCCTGTTGGCTTTGGGCACTTGCAAGAGAACAGAGTCCCTGGTTTCAGTTCCAGGGCAGAGAGGATAGCTGTAGTTTGCAGCCACCAGAGGGACTGTAGAGAGCAAGATCATTTGCGGGACAGTGTGGCTGGTGGCCCTAGTCGTGGCTTAGGAGTGGAGAGGAGAGCCCAGGGTTGGGCTCTGAGACAGACCTCAGAAAATAATAGTAAGAAGGATCTGAGGCTTGGTGCATCATTCTCTGTACTTTGGGAGTACGACTTTATTACACTAATAGCTGCTAAAAAACAAAATAAAAAATAAATAAAAATGAGTAAGCAAAGGAGAAATAACCCAACCATATAGATAGTTACTATGTGGATAGAGATCTGTGTTCATATTCAGAAGAAGATAATGGAGCTAAAGAAGTCACTCCTTTTTCAATGAGAAACATCAAATGGTCTCAAGCACAAAAAGAGTTCTTGGAAGAACTTAAAAAAAACTTTAAAAATCAAATAAGAGATCACTGAAAAATTAGGGGAAAAAATGAGAACAATCCAAGAAAATTATGAAAAGAAAGTCAACCAGTTTGAAATAGAAAATCAAAAACTTAAGGAAGAAAATAATTCTTTGAAAGTTAGAATTGTGTAAGAGGAAGCCAGTGCCATCCTAAGACACCAAGAAATCAAACAAAAAAATCAAAAGAATGGAAAAATAGAAGAGAAAGTGAAACATCTTATCAGAAACATAACTGATCTGAACAACAGATTAAGGAGAAATGATATAAGAATAGTCAGACTGCCAGAAAATTAGGATAAAAAAAGAATCTTGATACCATATTATAAGAAATTATCAAGGGAAAGTTGGCCTGAAGTTCTAGAACAAGATGGCAAAACAGAAATAGAAAAAAATCCACCAATCACCACATGAAAGAGATGCCAGGAGGAAAACTTATAGGAATATCATAGCCAAGTTTCAAAGCTTCCAGGTTAAGGAGAAAATATTGGAAGCAACAAGAAGGAAAAAAAGCCAGTTTAAATATCATGGAGCTACAGTAAGGATTACACTATATCTAGCAGCTATTAGGTCTTGGAATACTATATTCTGTAGAGCAAAAGAGCTGGGGTTATGACCAAGGGTAACTTAACCAGCAAAGTTAAGTATAATTCTGAATGAAAAAAACAAAGGATGTTTAATTAACTGAAAAACTTTCAGGTATTTGTGATAAAAACAGTAGAACTTAAGGGAAAATTTGACATATAACATCCAGGAGAAATATAAGGTAAACATTGAAGACCAATAATAATGGACTCAATAAAGTCAAATTGTTTACTTTGTATATGTGAAAATATTAGCAGTACTCTTCTGATTATCATCATCATTTGGGTAGTTTGAAAGAAAGACTTGGGCTGAGCTGAATATGATGGGTTGATTCTAAAAAAAAATAAAACTAAGGAGCGATAAAAAGGTATAATTATCTCATATAAATGAGGCATAAAAAGAAAAATTGATACGGAAGAAGCGAGTAGGGGGGAAGGGCAGATGGAGCTGGAACCTTACTCTCATTGGGAATGGGTTAAAGAGGGAACAACATACACATCTAGAAGGGTATAAAAGTCTTCTAAATTCAAAAGAAATAAGTGGGCAAAAGGATAAGGTATGGGGAGAGGATAAGGGAGGGACTTTTAGAGATGTGGGCAGGCTAAGGAATAGGTGGGCAATGTAGTGGGTAGAAATAAACCAGAAGAGTGTGAGAAAGATAGTGAGGAAAAATTAGGAGGAAAATACACAACAAGTGATTGTATCTTAGAAGGTGAATGGGACAAATTTGCCCATAAAATGGAAATGGATAGCAGATTAAAAATTTGATTTCAACAATATGTTGCTTTTAGTTAAAAAAATGAGAGATACACACAAAGATAAAATAAAGGACAGGAGTATATTTTATTATGTAAAAAAAAGCAGGGATAGTAATAATGATCTCAAAGTTAAAGTTAAAAGAGATTTAACCAAAAGTGAAAAAATAGAGAAACTACACTGTGTCAACAACATTCAATATTATTTTAGACCATCATTCAAATACCTAGACAGTAGAAAATATATGAATATATACCTGCAAAACAGACACAGGAACTATATGAACATAAACATAAAACAACTCAGATCTAGATAATTGAAGTAATATTTATTGTTCATGGGTAGGTAAAGCAACTATAATTTTTAAAATGACACTTTTACCTAACTAATCTATTTATTCAATGTCATCCCAATTAAATTACTAAAAAATTATCTTACTGAGTTAGAAAATATAATGAAGTTCATTTGGAAGAGCAAAAGGTCAGGAACTTCAGAGAAACCAGGGGAAAAAGATGTAAAGGAAGTAGATTTAGCAGTAGGTGAGAACATTGTTGGAGTGTTAAAAAAAGATAATTTCAATTACTTTAAATTAAAAATTTCTTGTGTAAATAAAACCTGTGTAGCCAAGAATAGAAGGAATGCAGAAAATTGGGGGAAAAGCTTTTATAGACCATCTCTCAAATAGGGTGTGATTAGATTGGAATCCTGCTGTGGTGTAGGAAATGATGAGCTGGTTAAATTAGAAAAACATGGAAAGACTTGGAACTATGAAGGAAGAAGCTATCCACCTTCAGAAAAACAGATGACAGGTGGAAATAAGCATAGTATTGTCCTGTGTATATGTGTATATATGTATATGTTTATAGATATGTTTGTATATCCATGCTTAATTTGTAGCCTTCTTTGGGGGTGGGGGGAAGTAAAAACTGCACAGCAGAGAACAAAAGAAGAGCAACAAGGAAGCAAAGAAAAGCTGGGCAGCTTTGAAAACCAGGTGTAGTATTACAGATTTTCTTGCAATAGAAATTTGTTGTTTTATATTGAATCTTTTCTTGTGGTGTGCTGTGTGCATGGCAGTATTTTTTTTCTTTTCTCATTTTGTATTTAAGTTTAAAATGAAATCTATAAGATAAAAGCAAAAAGAATATTAATTCTACTTATCCAAATAAATGCTGTTGTGTGAAAATTAAATTGTTAATAAGGGTATAGAAAAATCAGAAATGGTAAGACCAAAATAAATGATTCCACATAATTTTGGTTACCACGAAATAGATGTTTGGTAGACATAGTAATATAAAAATAGCACAGTTTTGTCATTAAACAATCGTGGTTTTATTTGTACCTCTGCCTTTAACTTTGTGTAGTCTTAGGCATGTTACTTCTCCAATCTGGACCTCAGTTTTGCCATCTTTAAAATCAGAGTGTTATACCACATGTCTTCTGAGTTATACAAAATACTTCCTTCTACTTCTTTGTTAATTGCTATGGTGTTATTTTTCCCGTTACAAATGAAATGTTAGACTGGATGGCTCCATGCCAGTATGGTAGATTATCTTCAAATGTGAAATGTACTTCAAATGTGAAGTCGTAATTGATATAGAAACATCTTAAAGTATGTGTGGCTATTCCAGCCAGGAAGATCCATCAAGGAGACTGAGAAAGCGCAATCAGATAGGCAGGAGAAGAGGAGGGGACAGATGGATTATGAAAACCTAGAGAGGAGAGAGTATTCAGGAGAAGAGTGTGTCAAAGGCTGCACAGAAGTAACTTAAGATGAAGGTTGAGAATACACTACTAGATGTGGCAATTAAGCGTTCTATTGTAATTTTGGTGAACACAGTTTCACTTGAATGGTGAAATTGGAAGCCAGATTGCCAAATCAAATAGTGCATTACTGACATTGGAGTGATTCACACACAAATAATGTTGATTTATTTCAACATTCAAATAATGTTGAATTATATATAATATTGTTTGACAAATTGAACTACACTACCTGGTCTCTTCTATTTTTGTGTTTTTAAGTCTTTAAATTACAGGGGAATTTATTTGGGAAGAAAACGTATTGATTGTTTTGACTTGTTGCTAATGTGTTTGTTTTATTACCAGTTCCTATTCAGATATAAGTGTTTAATATCTTAATATATAACCTATCCTGATATCAGAGGATTTGTTCTATATCCTGCTTAAAGTCTACTTAATATGTACACAATACATACAAACACAAGTAGTCTTATAGGTCCTAAGTGATCACAGCCCACAGATTGGTTTTTAGAGAAGAGGGTAAGTGAAAGTATGTTGGTATGTTATGTGTTTTATGAATTCTTTTTTGCTCTGAACTTAGGATACTGAATTCTGAATAAATAAGTTCTAAAGATTTAAAAAGTTCTGAAAGCAGCTTCTTTGGAACTCAATTAGCTATAAACACCAGTAATATCTTCCTTTCATGAGTGAAATTAGTGATTTTATTGCTTCCAAAATAGCACCATCAAAGCACCATGTGTCTTTCTAATTTAGTAGCTGTTGGGTTTGCAGACTCTAAATTTATAGTATACTAGAAATACTTTAAGGTAATGGCCACTAATTTTGGTCATTTGCTCCGTTTTGCAGCAGCTCAGAAATATCGAGATTAATGTGTAAACTCTCAACTTTTTACTTAAGCCTTTTACCAGTCTATACAAATACATTTAACTCAATTATATCTCATATTTGTATAGAGCTTTATAGTTTTTCTAAATACTTTCACACTTTAGTTTACCTTAATGTAGAAAAGAAATGGCATAGTTTTTATAGTTAGCTTTCTTTCACTAAACAGCTTACTTAAAATTTTCTAGTGTTTTAAAGGCTTAATGAGGGTTAGGTTTAATAAGAATTTTTTTTCAGGTTTACCCACTTTATTTAAAGGCAAAGACTCCTGTGCTTTTAAAAAAGCCATTCTAGTAGTGAAATTAGTGATTTTATATATTTCTTTTTGTCTGTTTTAGGATGACTACCATAGAGTAGTTAATATTGTACCCAAGAAACCACCACTGCTAGACAGACCTGGTGAAGGAGGCTACAGTAGATATGGTTATGGTCATGTTGGTTACCGAGAATATGACAAGGGCCGCAGTTTTTCTCATGATCGAAGAAGTGGTCCACCCCAAAGAGGCGTATGTAATTTTCCCCCCTGTCACTTTTTTGTTCCTATACTTTTAAAACATCGATTGAATGCAATTTTTGACTACTCTGTGGTCATGTAGACTATTGAATAAATCCTTCTGACTTGATGTTCCTTTAAAATGCCTGCTGCATAGAAGTAGTGGGTGAGACCTATATAGGCAACTTATCTTCTTCCCTCTTCTTTTCACTAGGTGGGCAAGTGATTGGATCATCTATTGCTGTGGCACTCTAGGGATGAGTAGATAACTCCCTATCTATGTGGCCATTCTTAACATTAGGTGTCTACCTATAATAATTTTGAGCATTTAAGATGAAAGAAGACAGTAGAATTTGTTTGTGTTAGAGTTGCCGAGATTCTGTGTGTGTGTGTGTGTGTGTGTGTGTGTGTGTGTGTGTGTGTGTGT